CACCGGTCTTTATAAAGCAAATCCACTTCTTCGTCTGGTGGCGATGGGAATACAAAAAGACAGGGATCAGATTAAAGGACTCAACAAGTGGTAATAAAGAAAGAGTCCATAGTCAGAGGCAGTACTAGCAGCGGACGAAAGTACTGCTCACTCCATACAAAGTACCAATGAAAGAGGGTGGCAGACGAGAGGATAGAATATGGGTACGAAGGACTTACTTGCCGCGCAGGTGAACCTGCATAACGTGATGGGCTAGGATTGTGTCCCGAGTAGCATCGTGTTCATCGCGTACAACAAAGATCATATCGAAACGCGAGAGAATTGTTGGCATGAAGTCGATGTTGCTCTCGCCCTTGGTGTCGTCCCAGCGACCGAAGACGCTGTTAGCAGCCGCAAGGACAGAACAACGGCTATTGAGCGACGTGGTGATTCCGGCCTGCAGAATAACAATAATAACAAGTAGTCAGTATTGAAAAAGGTCAACGGGAATGAAAGCCAAGCTTGAGCAAAAAATCCGGAAAACACGGGGTGGTGTACCTTGGCGATAGAGATTGTCTGCTGCTCCATAGCCTCGTGAATAGCCACTCGGTCGTCTTCGCGCATTTTGTCGAACTCGTCAATGCACACAACGCCTCCGTCGGCAAGTACCATGGCTCCGCCTTCCATCACGAAATTTCTCTAAAGGGAGAAATAGCAAAGCTGTCTGGAGCAGGGTGCGAGAACTGTTTTGAAAAAAAGGTGAATGAGAATAAGATACAGCTGTTGCGTGGATGGTAAGTTAATTGAAATTTGAGTCCGCAGGCAACAAGGGGTGTTTATTTCTCGTAAAACCTAATGGATTTGCATAATTCTGCTGGTTGGCAATATTGTACGTCATTACTGCTAACGCGTAGTTATAGTTGCAAAGTGCGCTTGGTTGCTTATAGGAACGTGAATGGATAGACCTTCCCTTCTCATTAATTCTTCAGAGTTAAACTGACTACTGATGAAATTGGGCGCAATGGTTGGTATGGTGTAGATCTCCCGCCTGTTTTGTGTCATGCACGTGCACCCAAATAAGCATAGCAGTTCACCCGTCATTACAGACACCCGCTATCACTATAGGGTTCATATGTGGGAGGCGGATGGCTCTACTATATGCCATATCGCCAGGAAGATCTCAAGCGACTGCGTGTGTGGGAACGGTAAATTGGAATGATAGGTGATATTTTAGCGATAGTTTTCGTGAATGCGCGTACAACTGAACAGACCCATGCGGTGTCTAAATGTGTGAATACAGAGTGCGAAGAAGACCTCAGTGACGAATGAGAGCAGGACACGTAGGAATAAGTTTACCCAGCGAGCTACTTCAGATACAGTCTTCTTTAAACTAACCACCACATCTTCCGATGCGGGGGATTTTTCGCGGATGTAACCTCGCTTGTGATGTTGGTATCGACTGAACTACGGCCCCA